TTGCGATTTGCAGCACCATTGCTGAATTTTGGCAAGTCACCTGGGCAAGTGACCTATTTTATTAAAAAATATCCTGTCTCAGAGAGATGCTAAAAAACTAGTTCACGCATTTATTACTTCCAGGCTGGACTACTGTAATTCATTATTGTCAGGATGTCCTAAAAACTGCCAGAAAAGCCTTCAATTAATCCAAAATGCTGCAGCAAGAGTACTGACAAGGACTAGAAAGAGAGAGCATATTTCTCCTATATTGGCTTCCCTTCACTGGCTTCCTCTTAAATCCAGAATTGAATTTAAAATCCTGCTCCTCACATAAAAAGTCTTGAATAATCAGGCCCCATCTTATCTTAATGACCTTGTAGTACCATATCACCCCATTAGAGCACTTCACTCTCGCACTGCGGGCCTACTTGTTGTTCCTAGAGTATTTAAAAGTAGAATGGGAGGGAGAGCCTTCAGCTTTCAGGCTCCTCTTCTATGGAACCAGCTTCCAGTTTGGATTCGGGAGACAGACACTATCTCTACTGAGTCAATTATGAAAAGGTATAAGGTAATTTCACAGATTTCAGAGTTATATTAGTTGTATATCTTTTAAGATTATTCACTGAAATTGGTAAAACTGTAGAAAATTAATAGATAGTGATTTAATGATTTTGAACAATAAATGTTAAATGCATGTAGAAATAAAAGGTATGATATAAAAATAGAACAAAATCTAAAAATATCATTGTACATATAATGCATTTTCACACTGAAAAAACGCAACAACAACAAAAAATGAACTAATTACATTAGTTTGACAAAAACACTTAATGCTAATAGAAAGCATATGGAAATGCTTTCCATTATATAAGTTGATTTAAAGAGGTAGTTTTTGGAATGATAAACAAAGTCTAGAGTCTGATTATCATAAAATTTTAATGGGCTTCCACTCCAGGGAGGAGAGGGCGGGGCAGCGGGGATTCTCTGGCTGGCTGGAGCAGCGCCCAATAACCAGCTCCCAAAATAAAAACAAACCATCAAACTATAGCTGTCAACGTTGGCGCTGTCATCACAATTAACGCAATTTCAAATTTTAATGCTGTGGTGGACCACTAGAGGGCTCCACTCACACCCAGTGTTGAGGAAATGTGTTGCTGAGTTTTGTGGCGATGTATTCAGTTGATGTGAAGAGAGGAATAAAGCTGGAGTGAGAACTAAGAGCTCCCGTGTTGTCTGTGCTTACCTCCACACTGGTGACCCCAGACTCAAACATGTTACAGGTTGAGGATGACGCCGGCTCTGGTCTGGATACAACAACGACTGCAGGTCCTCCGCCTCCTGCTGCAGCTAAGTTTGCTGTGGCGCTGAAGCTGCCGGACTTTTGGCTCCATGATCCCGCATTGAGGCTCAGTTCCCCCTTCGTGTCATCTCGACTGACGACACGAAGTATCACCATGTGGTGGCCTCGCTCAACCCGCTAGCCACCTGTCGTGCAATTACCCTCCTCCAGGATCCACCCGCTCAAGGGAAATATGCCGCCTTTAAGGAACTGCTTCTTCAGCGCTATGCCCTCTCTGATGCGGAGCGAGCCGAAAAGCTTCTCTCCCTCTCAGACCTGGGTGTTGGCAGACGGTCGGCGGCGGCCATGCAGAGATTTTCGCCGTTTAAATAATGCCATGGAGAACGATCGTTACCCCACCTCCACATTCAGGATTTTTCCGCCCATCTCACTGGGACCTCGAATTTTTTCTGACATTGACGTGGTGCCGCGGTATCACCAGGTTCCCGTGCACGCCGAAGACGTTTGTAAAACCGCTGTCATTACCCTCTTTGGCTTATTCGAGTCTTTGTGCATGCTGTTTGGCCTGAAAGGCTGATGGACTCTGTCTTGCGGGGGCTGCCTTTCGTTTTCGTGTACCTGGACGATATATTGGTGGCCAGCTGCTCGGTGAGCGAGCACGAGTCCCATCTGCACCACGTTTTTCTCTGCTTCCAACCCTTCCAAGTGCCAGTTTGGGTTGCATGTCCTGGATTTCCTGGGGCACCGCATTTCTGCTGATAGTGTGGTCCCGTTGCCAGATGGGGTCCAGGCCGTTTCGGCTTTTCTGCATCCCACGTCGGTTAAAGTGTTGCAGGAGTTCTTGGGGATGATCAATTTTTACAACCACTTTCTCCCCAGAGCTTCCCACCTGCTACAGCCGCTCTACGCTGCCTTGAAAGGTAAAACAGCCAAAGATCTTGTTGACTGGCTCCCAGAATGCATCCAGACGTAATCCACGGCCAAGTCTGCGCTAGCTAATGCCACCCTGCTGGCCCACCCGTTTCCTTCAGCAGAGATCACGTTAACCACTGACGCATTGGACGTAGCAGAGGGTGCCATGATGGAACAGCGGGTTTCCGGTGTCTGGCAGCCACTCGCCTTTTTCAGTCATACACTGGATGCCGAACGTGTTGTTTTCGTCAGGGAGTAGCTGGCCCTGCGCCTCATGACACGAAGTGCATGCATTTTGCTCGAGGGTTGCAACTTTACCACATATGTTGATCCCTTGCAATATCCAAGGTCTCTGACCCATGGAGCGCATGCCAGCAGCGCCAGTTGGCGTCCATTTCGGAGTTCACGATAGACATTCAGCATGTGGCTGGTAAAAGTCCAATCACGACCCTGACTGTCTCTCCTACGTGTTGGTTTCTCCCGTGTATATTGGCGTAGACTACACTGCCATGGCCACTGAGCAATGTGCAGAACCCGGACGTCCTTGCCCTTCAGTCAATGAAAACAGGCCTTGTGCTGTGTGGGACGGTTGTCCGCGCCTGCTTCGTAATGTTGTCACTGGCCGCCCAGGCCCGGTAGTTCCCCTTTCATGGCATCATCGTGTTTTTGACCCGGTACATGTTTGTTCCAAGGACACTGGACATTTTGTTTGTTGCCCATAGGCACCCATTGCATCCACTGTATGACAGGCTGTACAGGGTTATTAAACCGGGCCAAAAACATTTCCTTTTGGACTTTGGAGGTCAGCAGGAGATCTACTCTGATGATAGACTTAATCCTGCACATGTTCTGCAAGACAAGAAACACAAAAGCTGAAGACATTATTATATAGACTTATAATTTTCACCAATGTGTTTTCTAAATTCTATCATACACATATGAGTGAGCGAAAAGTGTGCGCCAGGGCCCTCGGTGCGCCTGCTTGCTGCTGCTGCTGTGCTGAAGTCTCACACACAACCTGTTGAAAGGGGAGGGGGCGGGCTGCTTCCAAATAGTGCACATTTCTTTCATAATATTGTCAATCCAAGCCCATTATGTAGTAATTATTTTTCCTAGGTTGTGTGAAATCACAACAAGGTGTAGATCTATTAGTCTATTAGTTTATGTTGTTGGGTTGGGTGTTGATACTGGAGAGCAAAATTACTGATGGAAGATGGACAAAAAAAGGTCAAAGCCACCAGGTTTAAAAAAAAAAAGAGAGAGAGAGAGAGAGAAAACGATAACAAGCAAAAGATACAGTAAAGCAGATGTGACTTTGGATAATGGCAGGTATTATGTATCCTGAAACAAGATAACATTCATTAGTAGGAATTGGGAAAACTTCTGTTTACCTTTGTTAGCCACTTGGCTATGATAGTAAACAGTAGACTGCTGATGATAGGACAAAGACAGCAAATATTAAAAATGACATCTCGCAGGCGCCCAAGAGAAATCCTAGTAAGATGCTCAAACCAATTGGCTCCTTTTGATGTGGCAGCAGATGCCAGTCTTTGGAGGAAGCTTATTTCCACTTATTTCTTTTGGTCACTACCCATAGCTCGTAACTGTAGGTGAAGGTAGGGACATAGACCAAATGGTAAATTGAGAGCTTTGCTTTTATACTCAGCTCTATCGTCACCACGACGAACCAGTACAGTACATCGCTGCAGACACGGCACCAATCCGTCTGTCGATCTCGCACCAAAACCTCGATGCAATTCCAGCACAAATGCTTCAAATGTTTCACTGTCTCACATAGCCTCATTTTGGCCCTCACAACCTTCAGGGAACTTAGAAAGAATGTTCCTTCATGGTTCCCTGAAGGTCACTGATTGCTGGGTTATGTAATTAAAACAGAGAACTTGGATGTATTAGGAGCAGCTGTTTTTCAGGGATCTCTGCTGATGTTAGGTAGACAGAGTGCTGAAGTATTGCTGCCCTCTGCTGGACTGTGTATTGTATTCAACAGTCTAAAAATAAGATACCCATGTAATCCCTGCATGCTATTAAATGGTGTGAAGATTGAAAACTGCTTCTACTGATTCTGAAAACTTTCCATCGGGATCTTTATTAATCAGTCACCTCAATCATTAACTCACAACCACAAAGTTTCAACCTGGTTACAATAAAATATCTTTTAATTGTGGAGGGAAAGTGTATTTGTCATGGCTTTCATGAATGAAAGATTTTCTGTTTTCCTTGTTTTCACACATTTCCTCAATGGTTATGACATATGTACATTCGGTTCTTTCCTCAAGGGTGACTCTTTTTGCGAACTGATCTTCATCCGCACTGCCCTGGACACCCACATGCAGTGCGTGGCAGCCAAACAATAACATAAACCTGACATCTCTGCCTTAAACACTGATATACTGTCAGGAATTCTGCATGCCTTTTTAATTCATGAATTCATCTATCAGTACTTCTCTTTCTGAATCTTTTTTCTTCCTGATTTCCATCGGTAAAAATAATTCAAAATGTGTTTAGCTACTGGCTTCTGGATCTGACAGACAGGAAGAGATTACAGTGAATAACAGATCTGACTTCATTTCGCTCCCAGTTTAGAATTGGTTGTTGTTCTCAATTGTTCTGTATTTTTAAGGCTGTTTAAATATTTTTTTCTTTTTGTTCTGTTTGGGTTTTTTGTTTGGTTTTGTTTTATATTTTGAAAATTAGCATTTCTGTCAGTGACAGAGACTTATGTGAACAATTACATTTTGCTGATGTGTGTGTAATCTCTAAATACATGTTTGTGCCTGTGTGCCCAGCAAACATGACACAGGAAAGTTGTGCAAGACAGAAAAAGAAATAGCATGACTTTTAAGGAAGGACATCCCCTCACCGACAGCATGTTACAGCCTGCGAGGCAGGAAAGGATTCAGTTTTTATTCAGCTCACAGGAACACCATCAAATTTTGGGAACAGCGGACATCCTAAGCTCATACACATCACGGAGAAATAACAAACCGTCAAAAGGTGAGCAATATAATATATACTAAATAGCCATTTTAGCATATTTTCTTTTGGACCTCTTTTTGATAACAAACAGCATCTTATTTTTGTTGCAATACTTACTGGTGATGTAAGCCTGGCAGTAATTAATTTTTTTAATTACTTGCAAAACTCCAACAGGGGAAAATAAACAGTGTGTTTTAGTGGTACCAGAGAAAAGAAATTAAGACTTGATGTCTTGTTCTCATCATATCATCGTATGTTGACCAGTTTGTGAACCTTTAGACTTCTGTCACTATCACTTGTATTTATTTTGTCTTTGCAATCAGTGCACAGATGTGTCATACTTTTTACCACAAGGTGCAAAACTGACGCAGAGGATGACTGTCTGTGACTTCGGCATATCAGTTTTCGACATGAGACAAAGGAGAGAAAAAAATCAACTTGAAACAAAGACTGTATACTTTTCTTTGACGCAGTGCAGCTAATGTTCGACAAGTTTGGGCTGAATCGTTGGCTTGGTTGCAAATATTTAAACGCTGTGTCAGGGTAGCACATGTCCTCAGTTATTGTGTATAACTGTCTTCTTAATATTATGGTTTGTTTGAATGTTGTTTGTTGAAAGAATCAAACTGTCCAAAAACTCTGTGTTCAGTAATTTCTGTCTCTTTTTTAAAAAAAAAATAAACTAGTAAAAAACTATATCTAATTTGCTTAACACGGAGAAAAAATAGGTTGTGCTTTTAGGAAGTGTCTAAAATCTATCTGTACAGAGCTGATGGTTAAATGTCGAAAAATATACACTACCAAAGTCAAACATTTTGGTTTTCATATTTGTAGAAGTTTTTCAGATCTATTAAGTAAAATAGGATTTAGGCTTTGGCAGTGCAGGTTAAACGTGTTTTGGGTGGTCTCCCATGATTTCTGGATTAAGGTATTGAAGCTCTTTCTTGATAAGAAACATCTGTTCAACGTGGAGAGTCCGAAAATGCAGTTCAAAGGTGCTTATCTTAAAAAGATAAATGAATGAATGAATGATAATAAATAATACTGAAGGGGCAATCTGCTAACCTGACAGTCATGCTGAATTATAACCACTGTAAACAGTTTCCATGAAGTTAGCATTTATCAAGGGCTACTTTAGTGTTTTGGACCTCATTAGTTTTGTTTATTTATTGATTTATAGAGTTAAATGTCAATCTCATTTATTTCACCTCTGTAATATTCTTGATATTTAAATTGATCTATAGTTATATATATTTTAGAGCTATTGCTGATGTTTTGTAGACTTTTTAATACATTGTCATATTAAATTAGTTTAGTCTGTTACTGTCATTGTCTTGGAGCAGCTGTAAGCTACATAATTTCCTTTTGGTGTTCTAATGTTTTTCCCATCTAAAGGATCAAAAATTCTTCTGCCATGAGCTACTCAAGTCTCTCACCTCTGACTGGACCAAACCCCACCCCTGACCCTGATGATGAAAATGCTGTGAAAAATGACTATTCCGCAGCCATTGGTGCCCTCATCCTCAGCTTGGTCTTCCTCCTGGGCGTCCCTGGAAATCTCTTCATTGTCTGGAGCATCCTGGCTCGCTGCCGACAACGCTCAGTCACCACTCTCCTCATCCTCAACTTGGCATGTGCTGATGGGTTCCTCATGGCTCTCACCATCTTTTTCATCATCTACCTGGTCATGCAGACGTGGGTCTTTGGTAACGCCATGTGCAAAATCCTGTTCTACCTGTGCAACTCCAACATGTATGCGTCAATCTTTCTGATAACCCTGATGAGCGTGAACAGGCTGTTGGCCATAGTCTTTCCACACACACTGTATCACCTGATCACCAGGAAGGTTGTGAGGAGGGTGATCCTAGGCACGTGGGTGCTAGTGATGGTCATGTCTATCCCCTCGTTGGTGTTTCGAGATGTGAAAAAAGAAACTGATGATATGAATCAAACAACATATGTGTGTGCATCCAATCACACACTGCGTAGACATGTAAGTACACTTGTGTTGGTTATTTGTCTGCCACTGATCTGACTAGTTTCATAATCATATTTCCATCCATAAAATGCCTTCAAAAAACCTTCTGCATGTGAGAGCCCGTAAAATAGTGAGTGAGGTATTGAACATGATCACATGCTTTGAGCAAAAGGTCCAGCACACCTATCTGAAATTAGGTTTGTTTTGTTTTTTGTTTTTTAATAAAGATGCATCAACAACTTGAAAATCTTCATTGGATGATATCAACCTTCTTAATTCACACATCAGTTTATAATAGGGTGCTGAAGAGAAAAAAAACTGAGAACAGTCTTTTCTTTAAAAATGAATTCTGTTTCAATGTCACAAACCACTGACTTAAAAAATAATAATAAAAGAAATAATGGTAATACTGACATAAAAATACATTTTATTAGATACAACTTCATGAACAAGTAGACAGTCTATTTGAGCAGGAGGTTGCAGATGTGTTTTTATTGTGTTTAAGGCCTTTTATAGCTACAGCTTAACTAGTATCCATAGTGCTTTGAGCAGATTACTTTTACTAAAAGATTCTTTATACACTAGACTCCATGTGTTTCAAGCTTTTGTGTTGATCCTTCATAAAGGATCAATGCAAAACATTGTTTTTACAGGTAAAAGTCCTCTTTTTAAAATACTAGTTTTGTTGGCATTTTTCCCTTTATTGGATAGCAAAGCAGTTAAGATAATACTTGAAGAGGAGGAAGACATGCAGCAAAGTGCTGTAGGTCAGATTCAAACCTGGGTCATAGCTCTCCAGCCATGTGGCAGGTGCTCGCTTGTTCACCCACTAAGCTAAAGTGGCAACAATAAAAGTTGTTGTTAATTAAGGCTTCAAAACTAGTAGCATCCAAATTCCCTTCAGAATGTATATAGTAAAAATACTTATTCTGCAGAAGGTGCTTTTTCACACAAAAGACATCATGACGCGGCTTAAAGTCATCAGATGTTTGATTTTGTCCTCTAATTTGACAAAAACAAAGCAAATAAGTTAATTCAACTTAAACAGTTTTACAATTTTAGCTTTTACTTCTTTATTTGTTTTCCATATTTGGAGAAATCAGTTCATGTCTGAAGAAAAATGCCTTTCTTTATATGCTCTTGTTTTCAGGTGAGGTTTCAGTACGCATTTGAGACAGTGGCAGGATTCATTATTCCTTATGCAATCATTATAACCTGCTATGTTGTCATCCTGAAACGCTTGAGGGAGACCAAGTTCCAACGAAATTCCCGCAGCGAGAAACTCATCCTGGCTATTGTCATCACATTTGGTCTGTTCTGGCTGCCGTACCACGTCATCAACATGGTACAGGTGTGCGAGGGCATGTTCTTGACAAATATTCGCATCAAATCTGCTCAAAATTTCTGTTAAGAGAGCTGTGCTTTTGAGTGAATACTGAGTGTGTTTTGTTTTCTACCAAAGGTGGCAGCTGCTTGGTACCCAAAGAACTCACCCATAAGAGAAAGGTGAGTAACTTAAGTTTTCTGTAGAGGCTCTTTCTCCACTCTGTTACATATTCTTTACTTGGTTGTACATGTGTGTGCTTTTGTGTGGCATCAATATATGGTTAGTGTGTGGTGACAGTGTGTGTCCGTTTACCTTTATGGTGGGAAGCCTGTCTCGGTAGATTCTGTTGCCCGGATCCCCACAACAGAAGAATAAAGTTGTAGCTGCTGTGTCTCTAGCGGCTAGCTGTGGCTAATGTGTTAGCCAGTGAGTGAGACCCTCGGGTCACATCCCTAGCTCAGGACTGATGAGGAAAGTGGATATCTCACAGGCAATGGCAGAGTGTCCAGGCCCTTGGGCGGGATCCACTCCCTCATCAGCTTTGGGATCAGACCACAGCGGGCTAGGCCACCACCCCCTCCCCTGCCTGAGAATAACTTGGGGCGCCTACAGCTCTGTGGATCCTTGGGTCACGTCCCCAGCTCGGCCCCCCACTTCCCACCACACCTGAGCAGGCGAGGAAGGTGGAAGTGTCTGGGCCCTCGGGCGGGATCCACTCTGCTGAAACCAAAAAAACAAAAACAAAAGCTTTTTTGGGTGTGTGTGTGTGTGGGGCGGGGG